ATTTTCAACGAAATTCATTATAATGCAACATGATTGCTTCTTTAAAAAATATTCATGACGATTAACATCAGTATAATTAGACAGAAGAGTTATTTATTTAATTTCTTTTCCATTTATATCCAGTCATATAAAATTCTTTAATGTTCTACTTATTTCAGTTATAATACATTTAAATACTTTGATTATGGGAAAACATTTATATTATTCCTGTAGTAACATATCTTGAGTTTTTGCACGATGAATTTCACATTCATGAGAGTAGTAACGCATGTGAGCAAAATGTATTCGTCCGCGTAGCGATTCTTTTCGCCTTTCTAATAAACGACTGAAATGTCGCAACAATCTGCGAAGATCACGTCGAACCTTTTCCTTCTAACTGTGGAATCTTATGTCAGTTTAATGCAAGACTCGATCCACCACGGCGGAGCAAACCTGAAATCGCATTAAATCTACGGTTTCCCTGAGTCGGCTGCACGTTCGTGTTCTCTAATTACTTATGCATTATTGGAGACCTAAGGCATAGCAGTAGCAATAATAAGAACGGGTGAGATAAAACTTACAGGGAAGTAAAAATGAAGATATCTTATTGGGTACTATAATTTTAATATCCCTACCTATTCTTACTGGAGTTTCGATTTTTTTATGTTAAACAACCTGTACTTATTCCACGACTACTTTTCATTTGTAATGGTCTTGTTGCAACTGCGTTTTTTCGAAATTAAATGATTCGCATAAGTACTCCATCTCCATTTTAGGCAGATAAAACTTAAAAAAAAAGAGAGCATATGCGAGGGAAACGGTATATTATTAAAAATGAAATGATAATATGTATGTATTTAAAAGGTGTACAGATTATATATATATATATATATATATATATATGTTGCATTATAATGCATATATATATATATATAATATATATATGAATAACAAATGTATATATATATATATATATTATACATTTGTAATTCAGATCCAGAGCATAAAACGAATTATGTTCAATGCCTATAACCAACTTCTTATTAATCAATAACGGTATAATAGGGTTGCGGATTCACGGGGTCATGTTTGAAGAAGGAAGAGTTAAGTTTGTTTATTGCGCAAAGATTTGCGAAATTATTATCGAAAATCTTCAACGAAAACAAAACTACCTACGAAAAATACAAAAAGAAAAATTGTTGGGATAACAATGTCGATATAACAAAAGATGTAATAGCATTTGGAAACTGTTTTGACCAAGAACGAATTAGACATTTATACTTAACCATCTGTCCAAATTATTTTTTTCAGAATTTTGTAAAAAATTAAATATTCGGTTTTGAAAACAGAAATTCTTATAACCTAAATTTTGCGTACTCTTTAAAAATATTCGATTTTTCTTTCAAATGCAAAATGCAGTGTACTTTAGTTTTGAAAGATTCATGTATCATGCACATACCTTAATTAAAAAGGTACCAACATTAATGAAAAAAAGAAGAGGACGAGCTGTAAATTCACTAAACACTGGTAGTTTAAACGAATCTCTGCGAACGAACTGGCTATATGGAGATGTTTTCATTGTTTATATCTTGTGTAACGTAGACACGGGCCAGTTTAAAAAAAAATCCTCCTTCCTTCCCACAGGGGGATAGTCTTTAAGTTGTTTTGTCAGCTTCACCATAGTTAAAATAGATGCTTTCTGTATTAGCTTTATCCCACCCCCAAAAAATTCAAAAGATGGTCTTTTTTCCCCGCCAATGTTTTTTGTTGTTTATTTTAAGTCAAGCTCTTTTAACCTCTTTTCGTCTTTTAACTCAAAACTGAAACAGATGGAAAATTTTGTACTCATTATATAGGGTGGCCCAGAAGTCACTTTACATTTTGAAAAAATTAAATAACTTTTTTTCTATTAATATATTTCTTTTTCTCTTTTCAGAATTAAAAAATATAATCCCTGGAAATTTTTGGCATGGATAAGTTTACAACAGAACAACGAGTGAAGATAATTGAATTTTACTTTTAATAATTGAATTTTACTGCTGAGAAATATCGAGACATGCTAGCGAATTTTGTTCAACCTCAGTTAGTAAACATGGCAGGGTATTGGTGGCAAAAAGATGGAGCACTGCACATACTGCTAGAGCCACAATGCAGTTGTTAACTGCAATGTTTCAGGATCGGATAATCTCTCTTAAATCTGATTTTGAATGGCCTCCACGTTCTCCTGATTTGACAGCTCCGGACTTTTGGCTTTGGGGATATCTTAAAGACAAAGTGTATGCAAATAAGCCCCGAACTATTCAAGAACTTAAGGCAAACAACCTCAGATGTTAAGAAGTGTCATGGAGAATAGCTTAGAAAGAACTCGACTTTGTGAAGACGAGAATGGAGGCTATTTAAAAGACATTATCTTTCGTCACTAAGTCAGAACTAACTTACACACTCTAAGTTTTCGAATAAAAAAGAATTCATTAAATACACTCATTTAAGAAAAAGTTATTGAATTTTCAAAATGTAAAGTGACTTCTGGGCCACCCGATATATAAAGTGTGATTCCCATTCGACAAAATTTGATATTAAAATCGAAGAGGCCCACCAGTGGCCGAGCCAGTAAAGGTGCTGAACATTGGTAATTTGCCGGGGCTCGACAAACGGGCTGGCTCTATGGACATTTTCGTGGTATTTCGCATGGAAAACGAATTAGTTTTCTTTATATGTTTTCGAAATTAAAGGTCGAGTGAGTCCTCCACGAAAAACATGCCTCTTATTAGACAGATAACTGTTGTGGGCTTTGCCAAACCATTTAAAGCCAAAGACCATACTCAGGGGCCGTACACAAAGTGAAAAGCGGAATTTTTGTATTTGTATGTAACTACAAATAAAATAACAGCTTAAAAAAGTTTCTAGCGTTTAAGATATTAAGTAACGAACATTTCTGTGCAAATATTTCAAAATGTATTTATGAATGTAAGTTCCTATTCACATAATCTTATAGAATGCTGATTTTAGAAAACATTTTTAGGCTTCGGTATTGGCATGCAATCAACTCATAATATCATTTGCTTTAACTATAAAAGAAAAATATTTGTTGGGTAATGATTTATTAATATCTCGGCCTATTTTTGTCTTATGAGATTCAAACCTTTTGTGTTTTATTTTTTGTTATAAGGATAAAATTTCTCTAAACATAAGTATACAGGGACCAGAGGAACTTCTAAAACGTTAGATTTCAAAAGTTTTTCAAAACCGATTTCTTTAAATTTAAAAATGCCCAAACAGGAATCTGTGTGTGATTTAAAATATTTTGTAACTGCATGTATGCATCTATGGCCAGCAATTGTGAAAATAAAGGCTGCTTTGTAATAACTAATAAAATCTATGGCCAGCGGTTGTAAAAATAAAGGCTACTTTTGCCGCTGGTTTGAAAATAAAGGCCAGCGGAAACTTTTGTAGACCCGATGTATAAACGTGATGCAAAAAACAAAAAAATTCTAATCTGCGTTTTACACAAATTTATGATTAATGCATTATTCATTTTTTTGTAAATATTGTTCTTTAGTGTCATTTAGAATGTTTTTCATTTGTAACGATTTTTTATTATTATGGTTATTTATTTTCCCCCCTTCAGCTACGTTTGGCTTAACTGTCATGATCGATAATTCGTTTGATGACGTTTTCGAAATATTATAGAATGAATTTTTTTATCTGATCTACTCTCCTTCGAGATGGCATCCAACCTAAGGTCTTTATATACATCAAACGGAACTTTTTAAATTGAAACAAAAGATAAAATCGCTTAATGAAGTCGAAATATAGCACAGAACATCTCAGATGATAGAGACATGTCGCCGAGTAAGGAAGTAAGTCCCCTAGAATCTTGATTTTGATTTCAAGCAACGTTATGTCTTTTTAACGCGCCTCAAAGATAATGAGGAAATATTTAAAGCATGCCAACTTTTAAATAAATGACGAAATAAAGGAAATTGAACAACTAAAATCCTGTCAAACTAGCACGAATTGTGAGTAATTCAATACTTAAGTGAATATTGATAAAAAAATTCGAATTGCAGCATCAATGGTTGAAGAAGATAACTGCCTGCCACATTCTGAAACAAATTTCTAGAATCATTGTTTCATTGGTAGTTTGAAGAGCACTTTTTGCTTGCCGCTAAATTTGTCCATGACATTTTGATAACATTATCCGAATGATAATGAAAAGCTATGAGAAAAATATACGCTTCAGACTAGCAATGAATCATAATAATTCTAGAAATTTGTTTCAGTAAGTAACAGGTAGATATCTTCTTCAGTCATAGATGATGTAATTTGAGGTTTTTCATCACTCTTCAACCAAACGTTGAATTCCTCACAATTCATGTGAGCTTGAGAAGCTTTTAATCATTCCCCTTCTTTAATTTAATCATTTATTTAAAAAGTTCTTCATTATCTTTTCTTAAATATGGTTACAAAACGTAAATATTGCCTTAATCCTAAGTAACTTAATTTCTTACTCGGCGACGTGTCTTAGTCGTTTGAGAAATTCCTATATTGTATTTTAAGCTCATTCAGAGATTTTATATTTTATTTGACGGTAGTATTTCAGTTTAGAAAAAAATCTGTTTAGTATATATAAGGACCTTAATTTGGATGACATGTCGATGGAGAGTAGAGTTGTTTAAAAAATTAATTCTGTAATATTTTGATAATATTAACCCAATTGTTGATCATCAAAAGAAAATCAAGAACTCTTAAACATGCCAAAATAAATGGCGAAATAAAGGAAGTAGAATAATGATGTAATAAATGACGAAATAAAGGAAGTTGAATAATGATGTATAATAAATCATGTATTTCCAGTGTTTTTGTATACGATCGGACGGGTGTTCAGCAGTTTGATAACGAAATTATGATAACATTAACCACGATTAAATTAAGCGACACCTACTACATTTCTTTTTATAGGCCACTTTAATAGAATTCTCCCAGACAAGAGTTATGAAATACCCAACTTCTCACTATCCATTTGGATTCTAGGGGGCGCATGGATCGCTCTACTGCGTCATCATCCAATGCTCCAGTCGTAGGTTACGAGAAAGTAGCGGTTTAAATACAGGCTGCCGAAACTCGAGGTTTATTGAGGTATTGTCTGTCGCTCGATTACTTCTGATTTGCTAGACTCTCTATCGTGTATTGAAATATTAGAAAATATCGAAACGTGTAGATATTTATTACTAACTTTAGGATTATTTTTACAATCTAAAAAGGTAAGTGTGCAAAAATTAAAAGCCATTAATTTAAAGAAAAAGTGTAAAATTGGGATATTTTGTTTAAAAATGCGAAACCTAAAACAATTGCCAAGTACTCTACGACGGCGTTATCAAACTAGCAGTCCCCAAAAGTAATTTTAGTAGTAATAGAAAATAAATATAAATTTTAATTACTTTTTCTATGCGATATTAGTTTGTTTATGTATGTTTTGATAAATTTTATCAAGCGAAATTAAAAATTTATTTAGCTTTTTTATCTTATTCATAAAAAAAAAATTCATTTTGTTAAAACAAAAAAGTTCTGATCCTTCAGCTGTTTTTAGACAATGTATTCGGCCAGCATGCAATTTGAATTTGAGTCTCTTGCTCTATGGTATCCAAAGTTTTTCAAGTTTGTAAAATATATATTAAAAATGTTGTTTCTTAATAACTTGTAACAATTTTACTTCTGTATCAATAGTAATTCTGTACCAATAGTTTGAGATATTGATTCTTTTTAAAAATCTTGAAAATATAGGAAATAATGAATTGATCAATTATGTGTGAAAAGAAAAAGAAAATAGATACAGTATTTGCTCCGTCTGAGCAGGGAATAAACACAGTTTTATGTATATTATTTACTGATATTGTATTTATCACCATTATTACTAGGCTTACTACAATATATTTTGCTGAAACCGAAACAATTTCGAGAAAATACTCACAAAAGACTATAAAACCTATAAGTACCCATGATTGAAAGATCTAAATAAAAAAGTTGTTAACAAAAGCAACAGCGAGTTGAAAGAGATTTTTTATTAATGCAGCTGAACATATCTTATTATTAAAATGTTATTAGATTTTATCATTAATGTAAACTTTCTTTAAAAATTCTTTATTATTCATTAATAAAAATTATGCATAATTTAATTTGCTGTTAATTTGGCAGCTTTGTAAAGCTTTTACGGTTGATTCAGCTGTTCTGCCTCCTTTTTCAGACTAAACGGTATTCAGACACAATAACACGCCGAATAAATACTAATTCAGAAGTCAAACAACAAAAATCAGCGTTAATTCACAAAATTTTCACAGGACTAGTTTCGATGGTTTTACCGAACCATCATCTTCAGCTGCAAAACCGCAAAACCGCATTTCAATTAGTAAACGGTATTCATTAAAGCGAATATTCTTTCGACTGGCGACGATGTACCTGACACGCTGAAAATGTGTTCTATTATTTGAGCAATGAAATTTTAATTTTAAATGACTGAAAATTGTAGCCATTTTTTTCACATTTGTTTTTCAAATTTCGTAAATATCTCATAAAAGCTTTTGCATTCAATACTTTATCAAAACTCTGATCCGTGTTTATTCTGTTATTTGCGAAAATGCTATTAATGATTTCACCTGAAACTTCACATTTTAGAACATGTTAATTCACCGTAATTTATCCAGATAAAAGATTATTATTTCATGCTTTCGGACTTTTAATACTGTTTCTAAAAGTTAAATGTAAGAAAGATATCTGTCATCATTTTGAGGGAAAAATCTAGATATCATTAAAATTCTATAGATTTAGATATAAAATATTTAGATTGGCAAATCTGTAGCCGAGTGTAACCAAATCACCGTTTGCCCCGAGGCTGTACTATTTTTGCTTCTCGTATTCAAAATTTTACCAAATGATGGGGACAAAATGACTAATTCGCCAGGATGCAAGGACCACATCATCAAACTGAGAGAGTCCCGATCAAAACGGATTGTCTGGCAAACCTAAATGTTACTACAGTACAAAGTCCGTAATCCGGACGCGATTCCGGATTAGGGGTTTTTCCAGATTATAGATCATCAATTTAAATCTGGTAAGGTGGCATGCAGAAATTATACAATTAAAAATATGAAATAAAGAGCAATTATGATCTAAAGGGTATCAAAATTTACAAAAAAGAAGCTTAATATTTGTTTACCTTATTAAACATTTCTTTCAATGTAAGTTGTTTAAGTTGCTTCGTTTGTTTTGCTAATACTTTCTTTTTAATTCTATAAACAGACTTAATTTCTTGTTCAGTTACAAAGTTCCACTGTAATTGCTGTGTCGGGAATACCGACTAACTTGTCAATCGAAATTTTTTCGTTTTCAATAACCTCTCTGTCACTTTCTATCGGAAGCGCGCATGGGTAAACGCTTTACGCGCATGCGTAAGTTTGTGGCTTTGAGGTCCGGATTATAGATCATTCCGGGTAATGGACGTCCGGATTACGGACTTTGTACTGTATAATTAAAATGTAACATAGGAATGTGTTTACACATTTTACAGAGGCTGTTCGCACATTTTTTAGATGATTTTGGTAAGCGGTAATAAAAAATCGTTTGCTGCAAAAAAAGTAATTGTAATTGTACTATGTTTTTAAAAGTCAAAATTATCGTCTGTGGCTTGACAGTTTTGTTATTATTGAAAATGGCGAATTTAACAAAGCAATGGTTCAAAGGCTACATTTACGCTCTTTCCGAAGAGAAATATGCAAACTCCGTTATCCAAAAACGACGTGACAGTCATGGTTTTGTGATATCTAAAGCGTCGATAGGGAGTATCATCAACAAGAAAGGAAAAAAAAATGTCAAATTGGAGCCTGAAGTGGGACAAAATTTCCAAACAAGTACCCAAGGAAAAAACGAACATCTTCGACTATTGCAAAGGTACGTTGTTTAATGTTAAAAGAAAATACCTCTAGTCAAAGAACAGTTGCAAAATCATAAAATGCTCGGTTTCCACTGTAAACAAAATGATAAACGTTGATTTGAATCTTAAGAAAGCGAAAAAACGCAATGTGCATCGCCTTCCAAAGCATATCGCTCAGCCCAGGACACGCTGCAGAATTTTATATGAGAAACAATTATCCAAAGAAAAATGGAAAACAATTGTCACAATGGATGATATGGGTATATTTAAATGATTGTAACAAAAAAAGAGCGAATTATTATCATAAAAGGAGAGAAAAAAAATTAAGTACATGGTTCAAAAAATCGAAAGAAAGTTTTTTCTAAGGGATTCGTGATTGTTGCTTGTTTTTCTTATAATGGCAAGTTGAAAATAAAGAGAGTGCAAAAAAATGTCAAGATTAACTCCAAATACTATCAGGAACATATTTTATCGCCAATTTTTCTCAATGAAATACCTTCGCTTTACCCACAGTGCCATCAATCTTTGAGACTCCATCAGGACAAAGCTAGCAGTCACACACCAAATTCCACTGTAAATTTCCTAAAATAAATGGAACAAAAAAAACTGGTATCAAGGCCATAGCCTTCACTGATATCCTTACTAAATTTCCCGATGCGTCACCTATGGATTTTATGCTTTCGGACTTTTAAAAACTGCATTACCAAACGTTTCCCAAAACCCTAACAGGACTCTGGAAAGCTGTCGGAGGAATGAGATAGAATATCTTCTGCCACTTCAAAGGCATTTTTATCCCGGAAATTGCGGTGTCGAAAGATAGTTCAATAAGTGATGTCATATAGAACATTTAACACAAGAATTTTATGTAATTTAGTTTTGTGAATACAATATACATCGTCTAAAAATGTGTGAACAGCCTCTGGAGAACGATTTTCGCGCAAAGAATTAAGAATCAGAAAATGTTTTGGAATAAAAAATTCTAATAACGATTTTTTGAGTCGCATATAAACAAGCTGTTATTGAAAGATATGTTTTTGCGTTTTTCCAAATAGAAATATTCCTATTCTTTAATTTGAAAACGCTTTGAAATGCATCGTATTAAAATTAAAAGTACAAAATAAGCAATACTAAAGAAGGTAAAACCGTCTATCTTTATTTCTACATGGAAAGAAGACTCTAAACAAAAATCCGAAGAAGGTAAATACTATTTCTGTTCTTAAAAATACTTTGGCAACAAGGAAAAAATTCGCCGGCTCAAAAATCAATTGCAGAGTCATTGGATACAGCTGTAGCAACAATAAATGAAAACTAAACCATGATTTGCAACTTAAAAAAAAAGCCAAAACATAATATTCTCCAGCTTTTTACGAGGCACGTGGCTTAACGCAGAACAATTTGTAGAACCCTATACAAAAACTATTTAGAAAGAAATAGATGGTATTCATTTGGATTTTTTTAGGATTATTAGAATTGGTTTGAAACATTGTTTCACCTAAATGACGGCAACATAAAAGGGTCTGCTTATTTTTGATTAAAATATACAAACCTGGTTCCCTCAACGCAAAGAAAGACAGTAAGAGATATAGTATGATCGTCTCTTATAATGGTAAATTAAAAATAAGAAGAGTGAAAAAAAGTTAAACTCAACATATTATGCAGAGAAAATTTTAAGTTCAATTTCTAAAAATGAAATTCCATTTCTTTATCTCATTTAAAGAGTGAAAGATAGAGCAATAAGTCGTACTTCGAAAATAGCACTGCGTTCCTTGAAAAAATGAAGACTGTTACAGTTATTGCATATATACCTTTTCAATGTATTCGGACGAAGTCTTCTGTCGTTTCATGTTTGGACTGCTGTGCATTTGATCTCTTGAAAAGAACTCTTTCTAAGCGCAACCCCCCCACGGCTGATGGACTCTGAAGTAAAAAGAATGGAAATCGATACCTCTGGAAATTTTATAAGAAGCCCTTCTACCATGGAAATAACGATGCAGACTTATAGTCCAAAAAAAGGATCCTATAAGATTGAACATTTAAAAAAATACTCCTTACATTTTAAACATAAATTAAAAGGCCTCGAAATCGTTCTGAAAATGTGAAACACCTTCTGTATTTGTTCCCAAATACTAATAATGTCATGAGGCGTTAATCATATTATTCTGTACAAGTCTTCAATGTTTTCAATTGTATACATCTCATGCATGTAACATTTTAATTGCTGAGCAAATTATCATGTCATGAACTTCTATAAGCCGTATTCGTCTATGTTATTAATGTAGTTCGGCGTTTCTGTTTTCTTCTTATTTTTTAATCAATGTTCTTTTATGATGATATTTT